CCCCAAAACCCCAAAACCCCAAAACCCCAAAACCCCAAAACCCCAAAACCCCAAAACCCCGGTTAGAGTTAAAATCATTGAATATATTATAACATTGATTTTCATAATGAACGAAGAGTCGAATAGTACAGTTCAAGGCCTGGAAGTGTGCATTGGTAGCTTATAATCTAGAAAAGATTGATACTTCAGTGCTAATAATGCTCCTTGATGTTATAATCACCAAACTTATCAAGTCTAATTTCTTATAACACCGTTTCATTTCCCAAAAGTACTGATTTACCAAGAATTCCAGACAAAATAGCATGGACCATCAGATGTTCCTTACAGCAAGAAGTGTGCAAATAGGGTAATTAGAGATGTATTCGTTTACTCAACGATAAACCTCTACTATCACTTCTAGTTCCCAAATCTGGGAGTATTTCTGAACTAGGTGGAGCTTACTGGAATCGTGATAGAAATATTCAAAAAAAGTGTGTGAAATGTCTTCAGTCACTAAGTCATATCAAAAGCAATAGGAAAGCTAAACTTCCTCAAAGCAGGAATTTAAATGTTCTAAATGTTTGGATATTTTTCACCATGCTCTATTTTCCTACTTGTTAGTCTCTGGATTTTTGTGGATGAGACTTTCAGAGTCGCTTGAGTTCATTGCCAGATAAGACTTTTCTCCCTTTGCCAAAATTCAGGCTCCGGTATCCCCCTCACAGAAAGGGAAGATTTTAGGCCCCAAGTTCATATTGATAAGGCTATATTAGCGATCTATTAATTGATATATCTTCTGAGGATTTTTAGGTTCAAATTCCCCTCTTTGTGGCAAAAGTGTCACCTTTGAGACCTAAGTGAAAAACACTGGTTGAATCCAACTTTTCTTCGATAGGGGTATTGTATTGTTATAGCTTGAAATGCCAGATGGTTGCAAATATTTATAGAAATCTCCAATAACAACTACAAACTTTCATTACCGTATGATTTCTGTCGGGTAATGATTTCGAAGTAATTAGTGGTAGTGAATGGAGATAAGCAGAAATTTTCATCAGTGGCATTTTATCCCCTCTAATTTTAGTTTTATGAAAGGTAAATTCAGGACATAGATTAACCCTCTTCTCAATTTTTAAACTTTTATGTGTCTCCATGCTATCCTTATTCAGATCAGAAATCTTAAAAGGGAGATATTAGTGAATCATAAATCAACTTTGTGCTGTTTAAAGAGTTGTTCAAAATCCATATCAAGAAGGAAGGTCTCCTCAGGTAAGTTTGAGTTGAAGTTAGTTTAAATCTATGAAAACTATATCTTGTCTCACAGATACAAATCTACTCAACTTGTTATGCCTAGAATGCTCATTGTAAAAGAACAAAGTGTTACTCACTTCTCTTAGGTTGTCAAAATGGAAACATCAGGAAACTAATGGTGGAAGATTAGTGTCTACAAAAGGAAAAGAAGTAAGATATACACTAAATTTAGCTTCTAAATGCACTCCATCTGCACTTTGAACTCCTTTCCTGGAGCTCTATCAGCCATTCATGGTTCATTGGCTTCGTTAGAGAATGTAAAATTTGGCTAAATTAGTAACAATAATTAATTATCGATCAAAAAGTTTCTCATTCCTTGTTCTATATACAACTAATGTCAAATCACTTCGAATTCAAATTTAGTAATCTCAGAATTAGCTGAATGGAATTAGGGTTGGCCGGCTAAATTTGTTACTAAATCTCCAAGTTCGAGCTTAGACAAGCTTCTGAGATAAAAATAATATTGAAACTTAAATCTGTATGACTCAAATGACCTCTGGCCACCCTAGGGGCTTGTCTAGTACCTTTGTGACATGCGACAGGTGCCTCGCGAGGAATTTATTATCTATTTTTTATTATGTTTGAAATAAAATATAATTTTAAAAAGGGGTTTTGGGGTTTTGGGGTTTTGGGGTTTTGGGG